TATAGTTAATCAGTAATTCATGTCTCAGGCAAAGAATGTGACAACTTTATATTTGATTTTTTTTACTTTTATGGGTATTTCCTCCCATAAATGTAATAGTAAGTTCTGTTTTTGATAATAAAACCAAGTAGGTTAAAGCTGGGCATGGTGGCGCAGGCCCTCAGTCCCAGCACTCGGGAGGCAGAGGCAGGCGGATCTCTGTGAGTTCAAGGCCAGCCTGGTCTACATAGCTAGTTCCAGGATAGCTGGGGCTACAGGGAGACCCTGTCTCAAAAAGACCAAAACAAAAACAAACAAGTATGTTAAAACAACTTAGAATCTAAATCTTAATCTGTTTCTTAATTCCATTGACAGTTCTGCTTGCTATTTTTCTTATTCATAGTTGAGGTTTATTAACCTGATCCTTTAAAACTATAACTACATCCTAACAAACTAATGTTTAGCTATTCTTTTTGAATTTCAACTTTTTGCATACTAGGGATTAAAAAATAAGTTCTCTCCCTTAGCTAAAGCGCCTTCAAAATAATTTTAACATAACTTTTGCAGTCTATTGTATGTATTGTTTTCTTTTCTTCCGCTTTGACCACAAATTCCTTCAGGTCTCCGCTGGTTCACCCTCCAAGCCATGGATGCCGCTCGACTCACAACAGCCCAGTTCACACTGCTACTGGCTCACGGCTTACTCAGAACTTCTCTGTGTCTGTTCCCACTCTCATCTACACTGGTACGAGACTGCTGAGACTCCAGAGCTGGGGAGAGGCAGGCCACGGGCACAGTGGCTGCAGAGGCAGGCAGGCAGTGTAGGCAGGTACTGCAGTCTTCCTCCTTGTCTTCCTCCAATCCGGCTGCTGTGAAGACCACCTGTATTTAACTGCCACAAAGGCTCAAACCGTATGGAAGTGAGGGTGTTTTTCAGCTTCCAAAGTCTCTTCCACAGAGCCCTTTCAGAGCCCTCCAGGTGCATTTATGCAAATGTTGTTTAGAAATAAAATCGTAGGTTTCTAAGTGAAAGTTGCCAAAGCTCTGCTGTGCTTATTTCCTCTATGTACAAAACCTGTGGGGTGTGGAAACAGTAGGGTCTGTTCCATTCTGTGGAAGAGAGCTGTTGGAAACCAGGTAAGCCCTGCACTGCGCTACGTGCTGCTTCTGTGTAGCTGCGTCTATTCTCCTCTTGGGGGGTTTTTAGCTGTGGCTCTATTGATGCTACAGGATAAGGAAACAGATTTCTTTGAGGTATTTCTGTGTGTGCAAATATGAAAACAGTTACAGATATTTCCACACACCATTTGTGGCTGCCATTTTCTTTTGTAACTTATAAAAACATTTATTTGAGATATTTTGTCATATATTTATTCTTTTGCTTATTTCTTTTACTGTGTATTGCTTTTCCTCATTGGCTTCATTTCATGCTTCTTTGCCTTTTCACTTGGCTTATGAACTGTTTCAATGCAGATGATACTTACCTGGAATGACGCTGGTTAAGCAGCAGGTGGTTGTCCTTGACCTCCTCCCCAGCTCCACGTGAAGCTGTGACTGCCGCCCCAGCTCCTGCTGTGGCTCATGCTGCCGGCTGACAAGCCTCTGGCACATGATTGCTTAATATCTCTCCACCTTCTTCTGGCAGGCTTCCCTTCAATGAAGATCCCAATCCCAACACTCACTCATCAGGACCCTCAACCCCTCTGAAAAACCAAACTTATTCCTTTTCACCCTCCAAGGCCTACAGCCGACAGTCCTCCTCCTCCGACACAGATTTGAGTCTGACACCCAAGACTGGTAAGGCGCTGCCGCCACCCTCCGTGTGCCTTCTTAGTGTTTCTGTCTCCCGGTAGGGTCCCACTCAGATCTGTCCTCCTAGTTTTGCATTTAAGTTAAAATGTAATGTGAATACTGATCATTTCAGGTACTAAAACTAATTTTTTTTTGTAGTTGAGAAATTATCTTGTTTGGAAAGTGACATTTTAATTATTTCAATCATTGCTGATGTCAGGCGTGATGGCGCACACCTTTAATCCCAGCACTCCAGAGGCAAAGAGAGGCAGGTGGACTCCAAGATTGAGGCCAGCCTGCTCTACATATCAAAGTCCAGGCCAGCTGGGGCTGCAGCATCAGCAGAGAACCCCAATAGAACAAAGAAAACAGAAAACCTTATTGATATCAAGCCCAAAGTATAATTTGGTGTGTTGACAGGTCTTCATGTTTAGATGATGTGGAATACCATTTTAAAGCACTAAATAGAAAGTAACACTGCTGGCTCTTTGAAGTGTAATTCCTCTTGAATATGTAATTAATTTCTTAGTTTATTTCAGAATTTAGTTCTGTGCTTTCTTTATGAAGAGCAGTCCTCAGAACTGAGAAAGTTGTATTGGAGCATAGACACCTGTTGACTTTTCTTTGGGCTGGCAGGTTAGCTCACTGTAGAGCCCTCGCCCAGTGCGCTTCAGACCTCAGGTTTAATCTGAAGCCCAGGAAAAAGAAAGAGAAAAAGGAAATGACGTTGATCGCATCAGTTCGTTAATGTGTCACCGGTTTGGTGCTTGGCTTTGCTAGTCTTGCTGTCTAGGTTAGAAAACTGCAGTTTTTAAAAGTTCAGTTATCCTTAAATGTTTTCCAGTTTATTAAATTGATAATTTTCCTCTCCTACTTGTGTTATGAATGGTTTCTGGTTTTTTTGTGAATGTTATAGCTTCTTCTTAAAATAGAGTTAACTTAATTCATTTTTAAGGAAAGATTAAACATTTTTTTAATTCACAGTTTCTAGTATTTTAAATAGTTTTTCTGTCTGACAGTTTTCCTTTCAGATTGATTAAAACACAGCCCTTATTGGTGTTATTTTGAATTTATCATCCTTAGTAACATTTAGTGTTGATTTATTAATTTTTTTTAATGTTAGAAGAGGAATTTATGAAATGGATCCAGGTTTTGTGAAAACCAAATCTTCCAAACTTGCTGTTTCTAGAGCAAGACCATTAAGAATAAGTCTATAGACTTAATTCTTTTTCCTTTTTTTTTTTTTAATAAATGCAGTCACAGATACAAAAAAGATAATTATAAACATGCATGTCTTTTTCTTTGTTTTTATTACCTTCCCTGCCACATCTCTCCAGCACCTATTTATTTTGACAATTGCTTTATTTTTAAATATATATTTGAAAAAAGATTGTATCTGTACCAAATATAGGTCGGCTTTTTCTTTTCATTATTACCTGCATAATACAGTATTAGAACTTTTTTTTAGCATAGCATTTGCATTGTATTAGGTGTTATAAATAATCTAAAGATGATTTATATAACGGACTGGACTATTTGTGAATGTTGATCCTGGGATGGTGGTAGTGGCAGTCCTAGAACCTGTCTCTCACTGGTACTGAAGGATGGCTGTATATAATTATGAACAACATTTTAAAATAAGGTAGGATCGTTTAGGGATGGATGCTTTGGACTATGGCATTTTAAGCTGTCTTTTGCCATAAAAGTTGAACCTTTCAAATTATAGGAAAAAAAGGCGGGGGGATTAAGAGACCAGACTTAATGTACATGACACTCAGAAAAAGACTTGAACAGTTTCCCCCCACCTTTTATTTTTATTGGCACTGGAGGTTGAACCCAGGATGTCATACATGCTGGGCAAGCACTCTACCACTAAGCTATATCCCCAGCCCTGTGATGGTTTTGGAGACTGGATTTGTTAGGTTGCTTAGGCTGGTCTGTGCCTTGTGGGCTCAAGCAGTCATCTTCTGTTTTCACTCCCCGGAGTATCTGGGTCTATAGGTATGTGCCACCACACCCTTCTGAACACTAAGTTCTCCTAAAGATAGTTTTCTGATTTAGCCTAATAACTTTGTTTTCTAGGTACTTTTCAGTACTCTTATCTAGTGTTTATTTTTTGTCATACCCCAAATAAAGTTTTGAAAGTATTTTCTTGGTCTTTCTGTTTCTTAGTTCACTAAAAAGACCAAGACTAAAGGAGACTGACAAGTCATGCATAATGAAGCAGACTTCCCGAGCTCTCTGCTTGACACTCAGTTGAACTTGCAATGAATTTTTGTATTGCTAGTTCTTAACAGTTCATTCACAAATGATGTATTATTGTAACATTTATTTATAGGCTGCCTCTGAGTACCTTATTTTGTTGGCCTACTTTAATGGCTTATTTTTAGACTAGTAGCAGTCTAGTCTCTTGGCTTTACCATGAGTCTGTACATACCTTTGAATAATTCTGAGGAACATTCCATTTTCTCATAGTTATAAAATGGAAGAATTATGTTCTGAAATTTCTATAGCTGTAATTAAGCATGTATACTTCTCTGCTTTTTAATTTCCTTACATGCAAGAATCATTCTTCTGTGAAATAGTAAGGTGAACTGATTATAATTATTATTTATAAGCTGAGAAGTCAAAATAGAACAAAAGTGATAAAGCTTAACCTGAGAAGTTTTCTGTTCATAATTAATACTGTTTTTCTGTTAGCTCTCTTAACAATTTCCTTTATTTATTTATTTCTGTCATTTTTATGACAATTTTAAAAAATATTTTTTTCAAGTACTTAGTAGAAATGGAATTTTTGAATGCCAGTATATGATATAGATTTGACACACTTGATTGGAACTTAATTTTAGTTTTTTAATTAAACTGTTACAGTATATATTTTGTGATCTAGAGGGTATTTAACCCTATATGCAAATATCTGTAAAAAAAGTATTATGATCAGATTCAAATATAAAATTTCTAGAGGAAAGATAAAAGAATAAATGTCTATCTCAAAGCTAGAGAAAACAAATTTACTATTTATTTTGAATTGATAATGACAGCTACCTAATACAGTACTATTTATTTTTTAAATCGGATGAACTATGTGGTAGGTATCTTTTAACTAGTAATATTTGAAGGTACCGTACTTTACCACTTTAAATAAGTTTTTATTATTGAGGTGCCTGGTTTCTGACTGTAGCACTTCAGAATGTGGTATATTCCAGCCTTGTGAGTCTTTCAACAAAAAAAGGACAAATGAAATATTTGAAGAAGTCACTTAAAAGTGATTTAAATGGCATAAAGTCTTGTTAGTAATTTGAAGTTTTTAATGACTGCAGAGTTTGAAAAGGGTTTTGCTAAGTTTAGAAAATGCATTTGCGTTGTGTTGGCTAGATGATGAGTCCATAACTGTGAATCTGTCTACATTTTAAGTTCATTTGACTGTTACGTTTGCTTCGTCATTGCTTTCCTTATCTTGCATATTCTGATCATCTTCTGAATCTGCATCTCTACTACTTTCCTCCACAGCACCTTACCCACAGGGACCTGGGATTTGCCCGTGTCCCAGCTCCCCCCCTCTCTCTTGTGGTTCCCTTCACCTTAAAAAGTCCCGCCTCCTCTCGGAATCTAGCCTTGCCCCTCATCACTCTAGCCTTGTCAGCCCAGTTCTGAGGAAAAGTGTTTCTTTCAGTGAAGAGCTGTTCCTGGCTGCTTCTGGTAGGATCATGTTATGTCAGCTTTTTAATCCCTTTATTTTAAATCATCTGTGAAAAAAGTACTATTTCATACTGTAAAGAACTACTGTGTGCTTCATGAGGCTATAGGTCACGGAAATTTTTACTGGAGACAGTAAAACAATGAGAATTGTAGGGGTGTCACTGAGAGTTACCTGATGGGTAATTATGAGTGGTCACTGAATTTCATATTTAAGAAAAATGAGGCGTATGTTTATGATGATTAGTGTGTAGGTTCTTGACACTGGAGTCTGTTCCACAGGCTCTGCTTCCCTTTCTTCATGGCCTTCTCATTGGACCTGTGACATCTTGTTGCTAAACTATATGCTACATGAGAGAATCATTCTGTTTGAACCAGTTTAAGTCTCCTTTTGGCAATGTTCTTTCATTACTCATTTTTTTCTATCCACTGCATTAATCAAGTTTTTCTATATACTTTACATATTTTTTTCACTGCAAATTTACCTTTTATTTTGTGGCTTTTAATATGCTTCATATAAAGATCTTAGTTTCATAATCTCCACTTAGCATTGTATAGTCTCGTGTTTAGATTACTAGGAGGAGAATTTTGGTTTCGTTTTGAAGAACAGAACGGGACTACACACATGCTAACCTTTGTTTCCTTATCCAAGAACAGCTAAAAATAGAAACTTAGTTCTTTAAGTTATTGGAGTAAATTTGATTGTATATGTTTTCAAAAAGATGGGATTCATTTTAGTCCATATAGCACTGGCTTCTCACAAATCCTGTTTTTTATAATTCTTGGACCGTATTTGGTCTTACGGGATTATCAAAACAATAAAAAATGTTAAGGAAAGAAATTTAAAGTCAATGTTAAAAATACTTGTAAGAGCTTGGAAGATATAATTGTTTCATCCATAACTTTGTACATTTGTAATGCGTCTGTCACATGTGTGAGTTTTAGTTTTTTGTTTTTTTTTTTCAAAGAAATCATGCTGCTTTTTGTGAATGGGCACTGACAAGCAGGGTACCACTGTGTACCTGTGTGATGTTATGTTTAGAGATCGGAGGAGCCAGAGTAAACGTGCTACATTTCTAAAGTGGTTTCATACTCTAGAGAACTTGTGTTAAGTGAGCACAGTTAGTATTTTTCTTCTCTGTGTTTAATCAGCTACCTAAGATTTCTCATTTATTCTAGTATTCTTAAATTATTAGCACAGTCATAGCTATTCTTTTGATTACTTTATTAGAAGACTAAGGTTTTGAATATAGAGTATTATACAAAGAGTTGCCACCTCTATAATTTTCTTATAATTTTTAGAGCAGATTGATTCTAAAACTAGCTGTGATCAGAACTTTGATTATCTTGCTTCTAAAGAAACTCTTTGTATACTAGAGTAAAATATTTGTGTTAGTTGCGATCTCAAAATACATTAAGTGTGAATCATTCTATCGTATGTTTTCATACTGTTTGTGAAGATGAATGCAGTTAACCTGTTTCTACAGTTGTTGTCTTGGTTGTTGTTTGTGTGCTGACGTCCTGTAGGAATGGGAAGTGGTAGTGCTGGAAAGGAAGGGGGGCCACTCAAAGCTCTTTTACGACAACAAACTCAGTCAGCGCTGGAGCAGAGGGTAAGACCGACTTAACGTTCTTTATTTTACACTGTTAATATGACTTTGTTATGTTAGGGTCCAGGTGTCCTTAAATACTTTCACAAATGTTTTTGGTTAAATCTGCATTTTGAAGTTCAAAATGTATCATAAGGTATCAAAGTAGTTTGTTTACTTTTGATTCTGAAAAATTGTGTAATTATCTTTTGTTTAGTGCTCCAGTCTTTTATTAGAAATATTCCTTCTGGAAATATCTGTTGAATGCTGCTCATTTCTAGTTTTTCCATTAATGTTACGATATAGAGAAGAAAATGATCGGTATTTTTACAGAAGAAACATTTCACTAACATTAAAATAATGCTTTAGTATATTAACGTACTTGTCTGCTGACATTATTTTTGTCTCTGGCCTGCTTATTAGAGATCACAAATACACATATTCTGTATTTCTAAAGATTAAAATTGCCAGATGTGGTGGCGCACACCTTTAATCCCAGCACTTGGGAGGCGGAGGTCAGCCAGCCTGCTCTACATAGAGAGTTCCAGGTCGGCCAGCCTGGACTACGTAGAGAGTTCCAGCTGGGGCTACAGGGAGACTGTCTCAAAAAGACACCCCCCCCCCAAAAAAAGATTAAAAATTAATAGCATGGATATCTGGTATAATATATTATTTTAATTACTATGCTTAATATTTAGTTGCATTTGCTGAGGGGGAACTGAGTAGTTTTGGATGATTTCTCTTTCTCTTACCTTGTCTTTGCTAAGGGAGCATCGCCTCGTAGGTTCTGTGGAAGGCCGGTACGTTTCTGAACACGTGCGGCAGCCCGCTTCTTGTATTAGAAGAGTTCTGCTTTTTTCCTTGTTCACTTAACTTTGATTTAAGCTTATAACAAATGTTGCCAGCTTTTTTTCTTTTTCTTTTTTTAAAACTTATTAGCACTTCGAGGCTCGTGTCCTTTTTTTTCTGCTGATACAGTGCATGATTTTGTGTGTCCTGTCCTTTATTTTAAGTCATAGCTCCATGGCTGGTTTCTTCATGTCTGGTTTGGAAGCTATAAGCACTCACAGAATTCTTTGTATGCCCATTTTATACCAGCACTTGGGAGAGAACAAAGGCAAGACATAGTAATCACCTGTAAAAGGTACATTTCTTTTTTCTAGAATTTGGCTTTGAGAATTTTTTTTCTGATTGTTATTACAAATAATAAGTTTATTTTTCTAGACTTCTTTTTTTCTTACTCTGCAAGTAGCTACGTATGTACTGTTAGTCTTTCAGACAAGGCTGGAGAGGGTGGAGCTGAAGTAGAGTTGAGATTCCAGTTCATTGTTATCTGTGGTCCTGGGGTGGGATGTGGGGCAGACTTGTAGTGAATCACAGTTTCTTCAGAAGCAAGAGTTTTTGCACAATAAATCATTATAGGAATCTAGCATGGAGTCTTTTTTTTTTTCTTCCATGATTTATTTTTACTTTTAATCATGTGTCTATGTGGGGGCATGTGCACATGAGTGAAGGTCCCCACAGAGGCCAGAATTTGTCAGATCCTCTGGAGCTAGAGTTACAGGTGGCTGTGAGCTATCGAATGTGAGTGCTGGAAACTCATCCCAGGTCCTCTGCAAGAGTGACAAGCTCCCCTGACCGCTGAGCCTTCTCTGCATCTCCAGCATGGAGTGCTCATCTAGTAAAATACTGTTCTCTCTTGGGGTAACAGTACTGGATTTTAAAAATTAAGCTGTTTGAGTATCTCTCTTAAAAATAATACTTCTGCCATATTTTATTATTTTTTTCAACTACCCTGTGTTTAAACACACACTATTAAATATTTTATACTTCATTCTCTCGGCTTATGCCAAAGCATCAACAAGTAAAGTCCACCTGTGGACAGCGGGGAAGAGACTTTAAGTACTAAAAGACTTCTGGAGAAAATGTTGTGTTTTTTTTTTTTTTTTTTTTCCAGTCTGGAACTTACTATGTAGACCTGGCTGGCCTTGTACTCACAGAGATCCGCCAGCCTCTGCCTCCTGAGTGCTGGGATTAAAGGCGTGAGCCAGCACCCCTGGCAAAAATGTCTTTTACAGTTCCTAAAATTGACACCTAGACACTGAAAGCAGGATGTACTTGGATGGATCTTGAGGAAGTTGCCTTTTTAATGGAAAATAAACCAACAAACCAAAACACCCCATAAACTCCAAAGGTATATTGCATGGACTATAAAGTCAAGCTCTGAACTGTATTTAACCAGCACTAAGAAGGAATCTAGGTGCTAAGTTTGTTGCTCAGGAGTGTAAACAACAGGCCCCTGTTGACCTCAGGGTTTCACCAAAGTGTGGATGTGATAGTAGCTCCCTCTGGGTATGGGGCAGATTCTCAAGCAGAGGTGTTTGCATTCCTGTGATGCTGGTGGGGATGGTGGCATTTAACTGTCGCTGTCAATAGCAGTAGCTCCTCCAATTAGAGATCTAATTAGGGATCTTCTAATTAAGAGATCCAATTAAGGTCTCACCATGTAGCCCTGCCTGGCCTGGAACTTGTACATAGACCAGGCTGGCCTTGAACTCACTGAGGTCCACCTGCCTCTTGCTGGGAGTGCTGGGATTAATGACATGCATCGCCACACCCAACTAAATTGTTTCTTTTAAAGTGAATTAGTGCACTGACTGGATGGGCTGGACGTCAGCAGAGCCGGCCTGTGCCTCTGCGCAGCCAGTGCTCTGTATTTTCCTGCTCTGACCAGCTGCAGTATGAAGCTTTCCCTCTCTTCTGTCTCAAGCCTCCTGATCTTCCTCCCTCCTCCTTTCCCTCCTCCCT